ATGACTCATATCCTGATACCACCGGCATCTGGCGTGCATCGGACGCCCCTTTCTCTCCGTCCCTGTGGTTCCTCACGAGACGTAAGCGACCGACGGGCTAAAGGATGGATAGTGCTTGGATCCTGGAATTCTCGGAATGATAATCAACCTATTTAGATTGAGCAGAGGATCCTGGATTCCATATCTCGTCGTGGCGTCAATTCGGAAACCGAATATGGTGCGACCGTACGAAGGTCACATCTGATCCATGCCCTTCTCATGGATCCTCCGTCATGGTGGTGCCAATAGCGCCTGTACAAAAAATGCTTCTCCATGTATGCTTTTTGGACCTTGTACCCTTGTTTCCTCCGGCGATGGGATACCGTGGGCTTATAATGGACTCTTTGTTTGCATTGCTAGTCTCAGATGTTGCCACAAATTGGCTTTGGACTATGTCCATGGTAGTCAAGGGCCCAGAAGCCCTTCAACGCCACCCGTCAAACACCCCTGTTGCTGAACGTCGAGGCACTTTCCGAAACCATTGTCTCCGGTCAAACAATATCACGGGTTCAGGCACTGTAAGGGCACTTCGGCTCCGTCGACGTGCGATCGTGCAAGCTGTAGGCCACGTTCATGCGTTTCTGAGGAACAGCCATCACCATTGAAAGCTGCTTATGGTTCGACGACTGGTCCAGCAGGTATAAAATCAGACGTCGCCGTTCAAATATCATCTTACTTCAACATCCTCACTCGCAGCACCCCCACTCAGCATCGGTGCGTTCGAGCAGAGCTGGGCGTGATCTAGGAGCTCCGCATTAACACTTGGTCTTCATAGCCACTATGCGTTTCGCATTCTATGCTCCGGTATTCGCTATGATTGCCACAATCGGCACTTTTGCACAGGGAGCCACGCTGGAATCTCGCCAGTGCGGCGGGATCCTTGCCGACTGTGCTAATAACAACAGTTGTTGCGGAGGGTTTTTCTGCTACGACATTCCCCTGGGCCTTGGTTCTATCACGGGAAACGTTAGCCCTGATCTTACACTAGACCGCACTGAATTTCAAGTTCTCTTGCAGGTTTGTCTGCCGGATTGTGTCAACAATTTGCGCTGAATCTAATGCATCATGCTGAGTTGATGGTATTGTGAGTGGTGACCATTTCTTCCCATATGGCAAGGCGAAACTCATTCTTCAAGCCATTAGCATCCTTTTCATTATCCCAGATTTTGTTCTTATCACGTATCGGGATGATAATGACAGATGATGGGATTGGGCAAAGAAATCTATTTTGCTCATAACATTACTCCCGTTCACTGTAAAGTTGTACCCTGGAACTTCGCGACATGAGCATCTCCATTTGATCCATCACATGCAATCACCGAGGGAGGTTCATTCCTTACCAGTGTCCTCTCGAACGTGTCGGGAATCAAGCTATTGGCAGGCCACAGCTTCCTTCGCGGGCCACATGATCAGTAAATTATCTCGCGCGCCTGTAACGGGCGACGATGTCATCATGACCCGTGCTTTCTACACTCACTTGCCATAGCCTAAGCCCCAGGGCGGTGACACATTCTGACAATCTGCCTCAGACTGATGTTATTTTCGCATAAGCTCTGTGCGAAAGTTCCCCATTCAGTTAGAAATTGCAAGCAACTCTCCATTCTACTTTGATTTTGCTTCAGGTTGATCTGCAGATTGCAGAATCCAGATGGAGCCACGACTTAACTTAAGGGTCGCTGTCTGATTTGATAACATTTTCCATACAACACAGACCAGGGGTGCGTCGCTGTGAAACCATCGCTTTATTCTTTGTCCTCCTCCAGTACGCGAGCCGCATATAAGCATCAATGAATCAAAGCTCGGCCGTTTATGCACTCGTTGATCTATGCTACCATGCTACCAGATATTCAACGGAAAATGGACCCCGTCACTTGAACGCCAGACTCTGCCATTAACTATCATAATCAGTGATCCAGTCGGAGCCGGTCTTGGCGTGTAGTCATTGCAAGATGAAGGATGATTACTGAAAGGGCCAAACCCGTACCGAGTCTTCTTCGGACGCTGAAATGTTGACAGGAGAGCGGTTGGGCGCATCCCATTTAAAGGAAAATGTTGGGAGAGAGAGCTCATTGCTTGCTGTCGGCGTTGCGAGAGAAATCAATTCTGCTTTGTGCTGATCTGCAGACTCCACGTGCTGACGCGTCTGATGATTGATCGACGCGTGAGGCGCACGTGATCGCGAAGCGCGGTATGTGGTTCATTAGAACTTTAGCTTCTCGTCTTACCTTCGTTCTCGGGCATTCCTGTCATCCTGACAATCCGTACCTGACTTCTTCTCGCGATTATCACTGCGTCTCGCGCTGCCTTACCACTGGCTCGAGTTTATACTATCTTGAACCGCACGGGTTGAAGCGTCACAGCACCTCTTGAAATGGTCCGGGAGCGCAATACTAAAGCGTTCTGTGCCGGCCAGGATGATGTCGTGCCGGATAGTGAAGAAGAGCGGACTAGGTAGTGTACTACTACCTTCTATGCAGAAGAGAGTTGATATACGAAGTACAGAACTCTGGGAGTCAGAACTCAACGGAGGACCGTGCAAAGCCGCACGATCACCAACTATACTATTATAGAGATATCCTCTTCAGAGGACGAATTTCAGTGAGTCGCGTCACACCAGAAGCTTATTGAGGCTGTTATGTGCTACGATTCTGAGCTCAGCGGGTACAAGCCCGGCTCACTCTGCGAAGCGACCGAGCGAAGTCGCTTTTGAAATTTCCCAGGAAACCCCACGGGAAGATGCAGTCTCGCCGGAAAGGTGCGTTTTATCTTCCATCCAGACTGTACTATTGCTGGGAACTATCCTTACCTTAGGTTTTGGACGCTGACTGGAGTTCTCCCACAACAGAGATGAGCAAAACAGGTCACCCGTGGCGGGGAGGCGCAATGTCTATAGTGCCCCGCGTTTCCGTCGTGTCATAGAAAGCTCAAGCGCAGAAGACTCAGGAGATGAACACGTAGTTGAGGCACCAACAGCCCAGCTCTCGAGAAACGATGCGCATGTGATCGACTTGACGTTAAGTTCTTCCGAGCCTGAAGATGAAATCCCCCAGGCTCCCATTCGCGACACAGCCTTGGAGTACTTTGCAGATCCGTCCTCTCCGCAGCCTCTTGCGAAACAGAAGTCAACTCTATATGCCTCACTCTATGCCAGTGACGATGAGGAAGTTGATGGAGAGGACCAAAGCGCTTTCGACGAATATGAAGATGATGGTTCCATTCTGATCTTGTACGCCATTTGAAGAATGTCCTGTTCTGCGACTTTGGCTTAAGCTATGACTTCTTCCTCCAGGGATGAACCTGGTACTGTACGCAAACCGATTCGAACGATCAGCACCCCAAGTCAAGGGCCATCGGCCATCCCATCACGCCTACGGCAGACACCCGTCTTATCTGTGTCAGGTCAGGCGAATGCACAAGGGAGGCCTGTCAAGACTACGGCCGAGTCTCCGTTATCCACCTCACGCTCGACTGTCTCGGCAAGGAAAGCGCCACGGACGACCAAGAAGGCCCTTGCTCAGGCCGAACAAGCCAGACGGGAGGCGTATGCTCGTGCTCTGTTTGATGAGCTAAACGAGGTAGTCTTTGGTGGGGGCATTCCGGCCTCCACCCAGCTGCGGTGGAGCAATCGCCTGTTGACTACTGCTGGCAAGGCGAAGTGGCACAGGTAAGTACCCATTGCCCCGCTTTGCGGAACTCTTTCTCCGTACAAGGTCATATGTCATGTTTTCGCGCGTTTGAATAGGTCAAGAGATGGTGCGCAGACATCAGAAATCGAGTTAGCCACAAAAGTCCTGGATTGCGACGGTAAGCTGCTCATGGAACGCCTACAATGAGGTATTAGCTAGATCTTGTGCGGTGTTTAGAACGGATCCGCAACACGCTGTCGCATGAGATGTGTCACCTGGCATGCTGGATCATTAACAAAAACATCAAGGAGAGTCACGGGAATATATTCAAGGGATGGTAAGACCTCGAAATAATCTCTCGCATTATTCAAATTCAACTTCGTCCCTTAGGGCGGCGAAAGTGATGCAAGTGCGACCTGATATTGAGGTCTCGGTATGCCCATCGCCTCCCATGCTCACTCGGGTAGCCGTAGTCCTGACTCCCAGTGATAGACAAGGCATAGCTATGAGATTGCCTACAAGTTTGAGTGGAGTAAGCACGCAAGCTGAGTATGTTGTCACGCCATCGGTACTCATCTTTTCTGGAAGAGTGCGAAAATTGTGCTAAAGTGTGAGTGAATCTAAAATATCGATATCGGTAGCGCATACCTCACATGGCATTCACAGGTACGGGCGGCACACAAAGTCCATCCGTCCAGACGAGTGTGGTATGTGAATGCTGATCCAATTTGGTTCCAGAGCTCACTAGCACTCATTATGAAGTTTGCGGCGGCTGTAGAGCCGGTAGACTCATTCCGTTGTTTGAGACACCTCGGCGCACGCCACAGACACCTACGAAGAATTTCGCCAGTAGCCAGCTGTCTGCCTCGAGAGGCCGTAGTACGTCGACATCAAATACTCTGATAGGTGACGTGCTCGAACTCAATTCCTTGTTCGTTTCAGAACCGCCCTTGCAGATTGTGGGCTTTGCATCGCCACTCAGCAACATGGTCGATCCAAGTGGAAAGAATCCGGCGCAAAGCGGATCCCGCCTAACCAAGCCCCAGCCTTCATCCTCGTCTATCCTAGTCATAAGTAGTGATGAAGACTCTGATGTGGAGGTGTTAACGCATGGTCTCAAGACAGTGATGATCCGGGACGGGGGTAATATGTAGTACCCTATAGTATAGGAAGTGATCGAACAGGACATGCTTCTGTATGTCAATGAGTGCGTGGTGGTGTAGTAGACTTTTTGGTAGTAAATGTGCCAATGACCACAGAGTGGGACAGGCTAAGACGTCGAAGTCGGCTTATGACAATTATGGCACTTCGCATGTGTGCAAAAAGGAGCCTATTAGCCCACCGCGAGGGTCGAACTCGCAGCCTTCAGATGGACTCCTCCACGGTTTCCCTGGATTATAAGAGTCTGACGCTCTATCCGATTGAGCTAGGCGGGCAATGCTGCAGAATCCAAAGATATTATCATGGCTATAGGCGCTTTTGGCCAGAGGCGGCATGGCCCTCGGCATCTGCCGGCCACGTTTTCTCAAACCTTATTTTGCAACTACTATACAGAACAACGTCGATATACCATCCGACGACCAGCGGCAAGCCGACTCACATTTCCTGGGCAAGGTGGGTAAATGCTGCTAGTCTGAGGCCTGGTCTACACTTCCTAACTGTCCTGCTGTGGCCTGTGCCAAAAAAAATAGTTAGAACCCTCAAGACCTCGCCAAAATGACCCACGACGCCGTCTGGTTCTCCCGCCCTCGCAAGTATGGCAAAGGCAGCCGTCAGTGGTGAGTAGATGATCCCAGCCCTCGCAAGGCTCGCATGGAGCTGGCGAGAAGAATGGACGAAGATGGTGCTGAAATGTTGTCTGCAGCCGCCTCTGCGCCCACCAGGCCGGCCTTATCCGCAAGTACGGCCTTGACCTGTGCCGTCAGTGCTTCCGGGAGAAGGCCAGCGCCATTGGGTTCAACAAGGTATGCTCCGATTGTCTAGATATGTATACACTATGTGCTGAAATGTCTGGCGCCATTAGACCCGGTGAAGACCTCCTACCTTGATCTCTCTTGTTTTCGGCGCGCATCTCGTATCACTTTGCTCTCGCATCTAAAACCGGTCTCCTGTATGCGGTCTATGATATGCTAAGGCAATCAACGGCATGAAACCCCTGCTACGTGTCTACCGTCCTCGGATACTACGCATTTTCCTACACACATGTGCGTGAAGTTAGGCTTGGCAACCACTTGAGCACCATCTGCCTCACGTCTCGCTCCTGCATTGCTTAATATGGCGTGTGTATAAGTGCGTGAACGACAGGGACAATGGTGTACACTAATGGTACAATCTATAAGGCATTCCAGATGTTGGCATAATATATCATGAGATCATCCGGCGAATCTCGTAACTCCCGAAATGAATACACCCAGGGTCCCCAGCGGATGAAGAAACTGATAGATTTCTTATGAGTTCTGCTGGTAGATCTTCACGCTCGTGACCTCCCAATCTGCGCGAGATGAGATGAGCATAAGAATGATCGGCGGGAAGCCAGAAGCGACTTACAGGCTTCGTTGAAGGCGGAGCCATTGTTTGCGACAAAGTCAGCACAGGTGGCGGCGCCCGTGATCTGCTGACAGCTCTGGCTCTGCCCACCGGTATTGGTGGTCGTCCAGACGTTGCCTGCCCAGTCACCGCTACGCATCTCCGCCGTCAATACGCGCAAGTGCGGCCATCAGACACAAGACTCACCAAAGTGTAGTGTCGAAGATGGCGGAATGGTCGCTAAAGAACGTCGAGGGGTTACAGTCTGTCGATGGCCAGAACGCCATTGGTTGACCCCAGTTGCCTGGCTGCGGCGCACCAGCGGTGATATCCGAGGGGATAGAGTTGCGCGGGAAGAAGAATACGGAGATCCCGCTGTCCACCCATTGCACTGCAGTCGATCGTCAGCATCTCGACTTCTGTGGAGAAGAAAAGGAAGACATACTAGCATAGACACCTCCACCGTTCGAATTGAACCCTGCGCCGTATGTGTTGCTCCCGGACGCCGTGATTCCGCAACCAGCATTGCCGGTTTCAGCAGCAGCGCAATTGGTTCCGCCAACGACGTTACCCGTGATCTTGAGCGCGGTGCTATTTGACGAAGGTATCGTGCAGCCAGGGTTGGTGTGGATTGTCGCCTGGTTGTTTGTGTATTCGTTGACACCCTCCACGATGTCTATCTCACCACCCGCGGGCCAGTTGGGGCCTGCTCGATGAATTAGGACCTGCTAATACACTGGAAGGGATCCGGCGCTCACCGTTACTCCAGAAGGCAGGCCAAGTGCCGCACCCGGTCGGCATGTGTACCGAGTCCATGATTACCAGACCCTCCGTATAGGTGAACTGCGTCGTGATCCGGACGCTCTGCCGATTGCCACCAGAAACTGTTGGTGTCGTGTCGACACGCATGATGGCGTTCCCGGCGCCATTAATTGAGGTGAGGTTCGCAGATTGCTGTGGCAAAGTCAACCGATGCTCCACATAGCGCTAGGAACGTGGTCACGCACCGCAGTCTGCTGGTCCACGTATTGGACGTTGCCGTGAGTGGGGTCAGCCTGCGTGAAAAAGTCCCATCCGTTGAAGAAGCTGTTTCCCTCCTGCATAGGTGAGAGAAAGTCGGCGCCATGAGGGGAGCAGACGAAGTGGGGCCACGCACGTAGTTCTGGGACAACTTCCATGGCGATGCGGCCACTGTACTTGACCCGCTCGCAGCACTAGCGGTGCCAGTTGCGGTTCCCGAGGGCCTCGGAACACTACCACCACCCCCCGACAAACCAGTGCCGTTCGATGCGGTGAGGCCGGGCCCCGACCCACTAACACAGTACATCTGTTGCACATTCAGCTGCTGCTCCACCCGCAGGCCGCCCAGCGCTGTCCGAAGATCTCGTGCGAGTCCCGAGCTCCGCTTGATCGCATGGCGGTGGGCGTTACTGACGGTGCGAACGAGCGTGTCCGAGAGGCCAGCGTCGGAGGGGGCAGCGTTGGCCAGCAGGAGGAAGAGCAGAGTGAGGGAAGAGTACATCTTGGCCACCGGAAAGTAAGGAGTGCGTGGTGGTACGGAAGAAAGAGCGACCTGGCGCAGCCTGGTCGGTCGGAGACGAAGAAGCCGGAAGAGAGGACGTGGCAAACAGGAAGAACGGGTCAAAGAACCGCACTTCCTCTCTTATCTAGACTGCGGTGGAATTGCGGAGTGGGCAAGGTGTGGCCTCCGGCTGGGCGAGGGGTGATAAAACTGTCGGAGTCTATCATCATCGTGGCGACCCTCCGACACGAGGCACAATAGGATATCGACTTCTTCACAAGCGGACATCACGATTGTCTCTTTGTTGCTCCCTACGCGAGTTGGTAGCGAAAAGCTTGTTCAGTCTCCAGCCAACGAGAATGCAATAAAGTCCAAAACACCCCGACGAGCTCTGCTCCAGAAGGTTTAAAGATGGCAGCAGAGTGGCAGACGGGAACAAATGTGGCTGGAAATACCAGCTTCTCCAAATCAGGGAACTCGGCACGGGTACCGTGCCGGTGCGTGCTGCTTACGGTACCACCAACACGTTCGTCTCCTGCTGTACGTCGTCCCTATAAAATGCACATCTTTTAATGCAGTGCTCCTGCCTACGCCCGTCTGGCCTGATTTTAGACAGAACGTGCTACGAAGACAGCAGATGTTAGCTGACGCGCCATCGTCTCAGTGCCTGGCGCAACCACGGCGCTGGTAGTCTCCATTGGCGGCACGCTCATCGCCCGAAACTGCTTGAATCCTAAGCATCATCTAGCCGATATACAGCGAGCCGGTGAGTACTCCAAAAGCTACCGCAGCACCATGTGTATCATCTCTTAGTGAAGAGCGCGGGGAAACCCGATCACACAACCTCGGAATTGATCTACATAGCCTCGTTCGTTAACTTTGACGACTGCTGCGGAAGAGCGACGTCCCGTGGGCCCGAAGTCTTTCGACTGTTTCGCTGACTTGTTAATTCATCGATCGTCGCACCGTGGGTCGGCCAGGGATGCGGGACAAAAATAGCTCAAGAGCGTGCGGCGTAAACGTAGTATCCGTGCAAGTTCTTCCGCACACTGTTTGCCGTCCACACTCAATAGTCTTTTCTAAGAAATACAACTGTGAGGTCAATACTCTTGAAATATGGATGTTCACTCATCGCTCGGTTATCCAATGGAGGCTTCATCGAAACTTTCGCTCGCCTCGGCAGCGAGCGGTTGCACAGCTACGACTGCGGTTAGGCGGATTTACCCCGTCATCTCAGCCCGAGGAACTTTATGTCTCGTATTTCCTTGGCAGATTACAACATCGTAACGGGCTGAAGTCTCCGTCTGAGAGACGGCTCCGAGGAGCCTGGGCTTCTCTTCCCTGAGGGGTAAGAGCATCCCGAGCGCCACATGGTTGCCTTTCATCGATACCTGCTCACTTGCGGCAGAGCGATGAAGAGGGAGTACCCTAGATCTGCAAAGGGCATCCATCACCGTGTTTAGCCGCCAGTTCCTCTCGTTGACGACCTCGCTGACAACTCGTGCATCGCTTCTTCATACCGCAGCAATTTCATTCACATCTGTTTTACCCAGTGGAGCATGGCTATATAAGGTGGCACGTTCGCCACATTTCCTCAAGGCAGTCCTTGCGTTTTGTCCTACAAGTACATTCTCAGTTCTTAACTCCCGTACTCAGAGCACCTTCTCATCCTTCTACTCTCATCCTCCGAGTACATCCACACTTTCATAATGCAGTTCACGTTCGCCAAGCTTCTCAGCGTTGTACTCGCCGGCGTTAGCCTCGCGGCTGCTGGGCCAGTTTCCTCTGCCATTGCCTCCGTTGAGTCCGCCACTCTTGTTTCCTCTGCCTCATTCGCGACTGTCCCGGTCGAGTCCGCCACTCCTATTTCCTATGCTTCATTCGCGACCATCCCGGTCGAGTCCGCCACTGCCATATCTCGATCGGTCCTGTCCTCCTCCGCGCCGTCGCTCTTCACCTCCTTCCCGGTGTCCGGCACGGTGATCTCGTCCTTTGCGCCCACGCAGGCCGCATTCCCCACCATCGCGCCCGAGGTCATAGACGCAGTCGTCTCCTTCCTTGCCGCCGTCGAGGCGTTCGAGGGCGTTGTGACGGGCTCCGCCGCACCGAACGGGACGGCCATCCCCGTCTCGCACGTCCATCACAGCCACTCCGCACGCCCGAGCGTCGCTCCTTCGATCTTCAGCAGCTTCACGTCTATCGCCCCCAGCTTCTCGACGTCATTCCCGAACAGCTCAGTCGAGAGCAGTCTCCCCACTTTTAGCACGAACGCGAGCAGCCTCCCCACTTTTAGCACGAACGCGAGCAGCCTCCCCACTTTTAGCACGGACGCGAGCAGCCTCCCCACTTTTAGCACTGTCGAGAGTAGCGTCCCCGCGTCTAGCTCGG